AATGATTATAGGTAAGTCAGCTCAATTCGACACAAGTTATGAATGATTATAGGTAAGTCAGCTCAATTCGACACAAGTTATGAATGATTATAGGTAAGTCAGCTCAGTTCGACACAAGTTATGAATGATTATAGGTAAGTCAGCTCAATTCGACACAAGTTATGAGTGATTATAGGTAAGTCAGCTCAATTCGACACGAGTTATGAGTGATTATAGGTAAGTCAGCTCAAGTTATTGCAAAAAATAAAAACAGTTTACAACTGATAAAAAAGAAAGCAAATCGTATATTGCAGCAATAGGAGACAATAATTTGTATTGGGAATACAGCTGAGGCTAAAACATAATTAAACATTATAGAAAGTCATTTGGCTGTGAATGTAAAACTGGCCCTAAATCATAAGAATTCGCTTAGTTAGTGGCCAGTGATAATTTATTTTCACTTCACCTATATAGTGTATAGGTTTTTTTTCTCATGGTGATTACAAAGCACGTTCACACCAACAGTTTGTTTTTCTTCTCGACTTGGAAGTTGGTTCCGATGTAATATTTTAAATTATCTTACTTTTAATTACGTCTTTCAGAACTACTGGGGATTAATTTCGCTTTATGAGGAACAGCATGCTCACTTTGATGGTCATGATTAAACCTTATCGCCCGACATTACAATTCCATTCTAACGAAGAACGCGAGATCAGTCTTAAACTACACATCTTGACAAAACTTCCAAAACCGTGTTGAAACAGACTAAAAGTACAGTTAGAACTACATCAGGGAACTTCACAGGACTGAAAGTAATTGCTGTCATTCATTTCTGCTTGACCTGAAAATATTTGTGGATTTTGAGGTGTCGTTGGAGTTTTGGGAGCCTACGTAAACTTCCAAGTCTTAATTTTTATTATCTCATTAACAAGAATACACCAGATGATATGACCAGCTTCTCTATAATGGATTTTTGTATTGAAATGTTTTTCGTAACCACCACTCACACTCGAACTAAAAGTGACTTTTGGTCTCAGAGCTCCTCGAATTTTGGTCTCGGAGTTCCGTGACTTTTGATCTCAGAGTTCTGTGACTTTTGGTCTCAGAGTTCCTTGCCGCCTTAAGTGCTCTACTATGTTAATATTTTTTGTTTCCATGGATAGCACTGAAGAC